GTGTGGTCAACACTCAGGAGCAATTAGTCATAAAGTCACAAGAGACGTACAGCACGGAAACAGACCCTTCGGTCCAACTCATTTATGCTGACCGGACTACCTACATTAATCTAATCCCATTTGCCAGCATTTGGCACATATCCCTCTAAACCCTGCCTACTCAAAACCATCCAGATGCCTTTTAAATGTTATAATTGTACCAGCCTCCACCACTTCCTCTGGCAGCTTATTCTTGATCGCTGATAGTACGTGAAAAGAGAGGAGGAACAACAGAAACCGAGAGAATGATGGGTTTGGGTGGGGGTGAGAATTGCTATTCTGTGGTGGAGACAGGGCACGTCAAGAGAGAATGGCCTAGTGGCTATCCTACTCCGGAGGTGCAGGATAATGCTGTGAAGACACAGGTTTACACCCTAACTGTTGGAATGAATGAATCTGTAATTTAAAATTTGGGCCGGCACAGTGGCTTAGTGGTTAGCGCTGCTGCCTCACGGCGCCAGGGACCCGGGTTCAATTCCACCCTCAGGCGACTGTCTGTGTGGAGTGTGCACATTCTCCCCACGTCTGCGCAGGTTTCCTCTGGGTGCTCTGGTTTCCTGCCACAGTCCAAAGATGTGCAGGTTAGGTAGATTGGCCATGCTAAATTGCCCCATAGTATTCAGGAATGTATAGATTAGGTGGGTTATAGGGGGATGGGTCTGGGTGGGATGCTCTGAGGGTCAGTGTGGATTTGTTGGGCCAAAGGGCCTGTTTCCACACTGTAGGGATTCTATGAAAAAAAAAAATTAGTCTCAGTCACGGTGACCACCAAACTATCACTGATTGTTCTGAAAACTTGTCCAGTTTTCCAACAACATTTAGGGAAGGCAACGTGCCATCCTTCCCTGGTCTGATCTATATGTGAATCCAGATGAATGTGGCTGATTCTTAGCTGCCCTCTCCAATGGCTGAGCAAGCCACTCAGTTCACAGGCAACCAGTGACACCAAAGAAGAATAAGCTTCACAAAAAGAACTTCTGTGACTCAAGTCGTCACCATAGTCTTACCACATCATTCAATTGGAATTGGCAGTCGAGCAGCCTGCAGACATCTTGCCTGGAGCTCATCTGATCTGTTGGCCTTTATTTCTCTTCTTCTTTCTCTGCTTTGTTCTCTTACTTTAACCTTCCTTCTAGGGAGGCTCAGACGGTTTGCAAGGTGTCCGATGCAGGTGCTTTTCCTGTCGCCAGTAGACGAGGGAGGGGAGGAGGGAGACGAGAGCGTGCTCCTGGTGGTGGAGGGAAACGAGAGCGCACTCCTGGCGGCGGAGGAGGACGGAGGCAAGTTTAGGCCCAGTGCGTGATGCAGCAGCTTCAGCTGTGTACAGACTCATGGCAGCGGTGTGGTCAGTACAGGCAAGATGGCAAGGGAAGGACTTAAACTGGCCAACTGCTTCCTGGTGGTGTTGGTCTCTGCATTGGGGTAGAAGGCCTGGATCCAAGCCCATGGCCAAGTACTTAAGAAGGATCGTAACGTTGAACTTTTATTTATTTTCTACTTGATACCCAAGATTCTGTATCCAAGTACCTGTGTATCTAAGATGGCACTGGGAGTGGTGAATTTGTACACTTTTCACTGTACTCCTGTATCTCTCTTAATGACGAGTTGCACTTCTGTTCCACGTGCTTGAAGATAGTGTTTCGCTGCCCTCTGATTGTATTTACGTTCATGAGGTCCTCAAGGAGCAATTTGTTGAACGCATGAGATAGTGGCTCAAAGCCACATGGATACACATGACAATAAAATCAAATTCCCTAATTCATTGTGAATAAAAACCAAAAGAACTGTGGATGCTGTAAATCCGGAACAAAAACAGAAGTTGTTGGAAAAGCTCACCAGGTCTGGAAGCATCTGTGAAGAGAAATCACAGTTAACGTTTCAGGTCCGGTGACCCTTCCTCAGAACTGATAGTAGCTAGGAAAATGTCAGTTTATATGCAGAAGGTAGGTTGCGGGTGTAGGGGTAAAGAGTGAATGAAAGGTGGGGATAGAGCCCAAAGAGAGAGAAGAAAAGTTGGATAAGTCAAAGGAGTTGATAACAACCTAGCTAGGAAGGTGAATAGCTGTTTAATGGCTAACAATAGGTGGTGTGTAATGGCAGACAACATGATAACAAGGCCTGGTGTGTGGGGTTGGAGCCTAGGACATGACAGTGTTTAGGCCCTAAAATGATTGAACTTGATATTGAGTCTGGAGGGCTGCAGGGTAACCAAGCGGAAAATGAGGTGTTATTCTTCCAGCTTGCGCTGAGCTTCACTGAATCACTGCAGTAGGCCTGAGACAGAGATTTTAACCAGGGAATAAGGTGGTGTGTTAAAGTGGCAGGGAACCAGAAGCTCAGGGTCATTTCTGTGGGCAGAATGTAGATGCTCTGTGAAGCGGTCACCCAGACTATGCTTCCTTTCCCAACGTGGAGGAGACCACATTGTCAGCAGCTGTCTCTTAATGGGGTACATGGAACATTCGTTGTTCCAGACCTATTCTGTACCCATCCCACAACTCTTTCTCCAATATATTGATGATATCATCGGTGCTGCTTCCCTCCCTCATCTGGAATTGGAAAAGTTCATCAATTTGGCTTCCAATTTCCACCCTGCCCTCACTTTCACCTGGTCTATCTCTGACTCCTCCCTTCCGTTCCTCAATATCTCTGTTCACATTTCTGGGGATAGACTAGCCACTAATATCCACAATAAACCCACCAACTCCTAGTGCTACCTGGACTATACATCATCGTACTATGCTTCATGTAAAAACTCTATTCTTCTCCCAGTTCCTCCATCTCGATCATGTATGTTCTGAGGAGGCCAACTTTGACAAGGGAGCCTCTGAAATGTCCACCTTCTTCCTCCTTGACCGAGGATTCCCCAGCACCAACAGGGCCCTCAACTGGGTCAGACCCATTTCCCGCACTTTCGTCCTCACCCCCTCGCTTCCCTCCCACAATAGCGATAGGGTTCCCCTTATCCTTACCTACCATCCCACCAGCATCCACATCCAGAGGATCAACAGCCGCCATTTCAACCACCACCAGGCACATATTCCCCTCCCCTCCCTTGTCCGCTTTCTGCAGGGACCGTTCCCTTCAGGAAACCCTGGTCCACTTTTCCTTACTCCCAACACACACCCGAAAGCCCCACGGCACCTTCCCCTACAACCACCATAGGTGTAACACCTGCCCATTTACCTTCTCCTTCCTCAGTATCCAAGGGCCCAAACATACCTCCCAGGTGAAGCAGCACTTCACCTGAACTTCACACAATGTAGTCTACTGTATTCACAGCTTGCAATGTAGTCTCCTCTACATTGGGGAAACAAAGTGTAGCCTGGGTGACTGCTTCATGGAACATCTACATTCTGCTCGCAAAAATGTCCGAGCTTCAAGTTGCCCGCCACTTCAACACACTACCCTGTTCCCTTGCCAACATCTGTCTCTGGCTTGCTGCAGTGTTCCAGCTGGAAGAACAGCACCTCATTTTCTGCTTGGGAAACCTGCAGCTCTCCAGCCTCAATATTGAGTCCAATAATTTTAGGGCCTGAACTCTTCCATGTCCTAGGCCCCTACCCAACACACCAGACTTTGTTATCACAGTCTGCCATTACACACAATCCTATTGTTAGCTATTAGCAGTCTGCATTAACAACTATTCACCGTCCTAGCCAGATCATTACTTACTACTTTGTCTGTCCAACTGTTCTTCTCTCTTTGGGCTCTATCCCCATCTATCATTTACTCCTTACCCCTTCCCCTCTGAGATTTTCCTATTATTAGTTCTGAGGAAGGGTCACAAAATGTTAACTGATGTCTCTTCACAGATGCTACCAGGCCTGCCAGCAGCTTCTGTTTTTGTCACTAATTCATAGGGCGACTCTCCCTTTAGAGTGAGGGAGACAACTGGTGGCAATTTAACCTCAGGGCCACCACCACACCTCAGGCAAAGGGACGGGTTTAGAAAGAGTCCTATGTTGTAACCTCAGCCAGAGTGGGAATTGAATCCATACTGTTAGCATCCCATTGCTTTACAAACCACCCATCCAGCTAACTGAGTTAAACTGACCCCCTCTTGAAGGCTGGTTGCACTTCTGTTTGATGTATTTGAAGACAGTGTTTCGCTGCCCTCTGATGGTTATATTGCAGTACTGCCCCTGTCATATTTATGCTCATGAGGTCCTGAAGGAGCAACCTGTTGAACACACAAGATAGTGGCCCCAGGACCAGCCTAACCCTCTCTGTCACAGTCACTGATACATTTTCAATTGAGAAAGAGCAAACTTCATGGCTCCTTGTCAGGAAATCAGGATTTATCCTGTCAAGCAGCCCCCACAGAATCCATGACATTTCAATACGATTACCTCACATACTTCTGAATTCCAATGTGTCTCGGCTCAAGCTGTCCAACCTTTCCCCAAAAGGTAAAACCCTCATGTCAGGAATCAGTCTGGAGAAGCTACTCTGAGCTGTTTCAAAGCAATCCTTTCTGAAGTAAGCTGAACAAAACTGTACTCAGTACCTCACTCAGCAGGAGTCCAGTGTTACTAAGACCCTGTACAGATGCAGCAAGAATTCATGGACACTCCACCCCATTTGCAATAAATGCCAACATTTCTGCACATTGCACGCCCATAGAAAAACATTTCAGCCCACCCTTTCCTCATATCACTGCCATTATTACTTCTGTTTAGAATGTTGCCAATTCTCTTTAGAAGTTCCTGGAGTCCAATGCAGGTGTGAACTTATCTTGAGGAAGGAATTAAATCTCAACGCAGTTTCAATATGTTCCCAAAGCAAGTGCTGAGAGGGATAGAGTGATACCATTCAATCACAACACGTAGAGCTCAATCCCAAATAAATACAGCACAGCCATTAGTAAATAACTCATTTCATTTCCAAAATACCCTGTGTGTAAAGCACGAAATACACATTTGAAGTTTCAAGTCTATATACAGACTCAAAGGTTATAAAACAATTGCTGTTTCCAGATGGTACAAAGTGTTATTTCACCAGTGTGGGGTCAAACCTGGAGAAATCCTGCAACAATCTCCATGGAAAACCTATGGATAAAAAGACAAATGCCACTTTAACGCCAATTTAATTGGCCAAGCTGGAGGTCTCATGTGGAACAGTGAGCTGAATGGTTTAACTGGCACACGATCAGCGAGGAAGATCTTGTCAAAGTACAGCTTGCAGCTGTCCTACAAGGGCCACCAGCCAATGTAGAAGCTGCCTCTGTCATGCCCTCTCAGACAGGCAGCGTGAAGAGGGTTGACGGGTCACAAATACATCACTGCACCTCCAAACATGTCCCCAGAAAGTAAAAGTCTTGCATTTCTAGAGCACCTTAAACCATCCTCAGGATGATCAACCACTTCATAGGCAATTAGATTTTTCTTTTGAAGATGAACTCTTATAATGTATGAATTGTGGCAGCTGATTTACGCACAGCAAGATCCTGCAATGTCAGGGGATCTGCGAGGAGGGAGTGCTTGCACTGTTGGAGAGTCAGTATGAGGGGGTGCTGTCAGTTTGTAAGAAGGGAGCACTGCACTGTCGGAGGTGCTGAAAGTTGGAGCTTTTGTACTGTCGGAGAGTCAGTACTGAGGGAGCGCTATACTTTCCGAGGGTCAGTATAGAGGGTCCCTTGCACTGTCAGAGGCACAGGACTAAGGGAGCACTACACTGTCATACAGTTGTTACAGAAGTGGTGGTGGTCGGGGGGTGGGTGGGGCAGGGGGGAGCATTGTCAGAGTCGTCGTTGAGGCAACAGTGCACTGTCAGAGGTCCTTTATTTGAAATGAAACAACAGACTGCTGCATTGTCCTCCTCTCACGTGAATCTGAAAGATCCTATGCCCATGATTTGGAATAAGTATAGGGTGTAGTTCTCTGTGGCAAATATTCAGCCAGCGTCAACGAAAGCAGACAGTTACCTTATTTCTCGGAGCTTTCTGTGTGCAAATTGGCTGCCACGTCTCCTTCAATACAAGTTTTGGTTTAAAAGTACCCACATTGGATGTGAAATCACTTTGGTAAGAAGTGAGGTCCTGAAAGACAGTGAGTAAGATCTTTCCTCAGTCTTCATTTCCTTCGGAAAAGTTTTCAGACCAGGTCCTCCTGTCAGGATTTCATTTGGCCATTCGAAGCCTGCAGTCTTTCAGACTTCCACCTACAGGGGCATCCTGAGGGAAGGAAGAAGTCCTGTCACCAGGAGGAGCAGCATGTTGTGCTGTGCGCTGACGCTCCTGTTGCACAAGTTTCCACAGCAGCAGCTGATTTCATCGAGAGATGAAATAGGAAGCCCACAAACCTCCATACTCACACAGCCTCGAAACGGAAAACGGGCTTTACCCTTTCGAACGTCTGAAAGATTAATACACTGTCAGGGCTGCAAATCATTACAAGGCCTCACTGTGAAGGCCATCGATATATTCTACACTTCGTCACTATGGAAATGAGGGAATACTTCCATTTAAAAAAGACATAGCAGTGAGATTTAGATAACATACCTAGATTTTCTCTTGCTGACTTATTTCGGACTGAATCCAAAAGCAACGGGGAAAACCCTTAAAAATGAGAAAGGATTAGGAAAACATTATGCTGGGTAAAGTAGGAGGCACTTCTTCATACAAAGACAGAAGAAATCTGTATTTCTATCCTGATAACATCACGGAGACAGATCAACTGGGAAGGTCAAAGGCAAGGTGGAGAGATTTTGTTGGATGTAGAGGTTAAGTGTTACAAAACCAACGGTAGATGGAGATTGGATGGCAGGTTAGGCTCAAATGGCTGAACGGCCTCCTCTTTTGCCGGTTTAACAGGCTCAAGGGGCTGACTGACCTCCTGCTGTTCCTATGTAAGAGGCCTGAGGAGGGGACTGAATGACTTCTCCGGTTCTGTGAAACAGGCTCGAGGGGGCTGAACAGAGCTTCCTCCTGTTCCAGGAGGGGCTGTTAGCATATTATATGATGCAAAGTGATGATATTTGAGGTCAGAGAGAAGGGATGGATTTGGGCCTGGAGAAGGTTACTGAGATAGTGGAGTTGTAGGAACTACAGTAGGTTACACAGATAGGAAAATTTGTAAGGTGGAGGTTACAGGGATATTGAGGATTATAGGGGCTGAGGAGGGTATACAGATATTGAGAGTTGTAGGGGCTGAAGGAGGGTAGAGATTGTGAAGGGTGTAGGGGCTGGAGGGGGTTACAGAGATAGTGAGGGGCAGGGGCTAGATGAGGTGACAGAGATAGGAAGGATTATAAGCGCCGGAGGTGGTGAGAGAGATTGGGAAGGTTATAGGGGTTGGAGGAGGTTACAGAGATTGAGGAGTTTATAGGGGCTGGAAGAGGTTACGGAAATTGGGAGGGGTGAAGGAATGAATAGGGCTGGAGGAGGTTACAGAGACAGTGGGGATTGTAAGGGCTCGAGGCTTGTTCAGTTGGATCTGTTGGTTTAAGATGCAAAGTGATGCTAAGAGTGTGGTTTCAATTCTTGCACTAGCTGAGATTATCATTAAGGATTCTCAACCTCTTCCCTCACCTAAGGTGTTGGGACTCTCAGATTAACCACCACTAGTCATCTCCCTCTCGCTCTCTCTCTCTCTAATGAGAGAGCAGTTCTTTGCGACTATGGTGGCTTTAGGGGCTAGAGGAGTTGGCAGAGATGGGGAGGGTTGCAGCAGGCTCGAGTGATAGGGAGGGCTGTTGGGGAAGCTGCAAGTTACAGAGATAGGGAGCATTTTCAGGGCTGCAGACATTACAAAGATAGGGATGGCTAGAGAAAATTACAGGGATGCGGAGGCCTGTAAGAGTTGGTGGAGGTTATAAAGAAAGACAATGTTACTGGTCCAGGAAGTTAAAGAGATAGAAAGGTTGAGGGGACTGGAGGAGAAACCAGAGATAGGGAGGATTGCTTCATGGGAAAATGTGCTTTATTCTTGGAGAGTGTGCTCTTATACAACACAATATTGAAGCAATCGCGAGTTTGCTAAAAACACAAGGCAATTTTGTGAATAATATTAAGTTTAGGAGGCGTACTTACGATCAAATGATCCTTTGAAGTAACCTGAGGCACAATATTCCTGATTAGAAGTGCATTCAATTTTCTTTAAATCACCACGGCAACTGGCTTCAGTACATCCATAGCATTCCATGCCATTTTTACTCTCTGTTATTAATCAGTCCAGTGTCAATGTTGTGACTTACACAGTTCCATTCAAAACCAAAAGAAATACTTAACAGTTCTACAGCAGCTATTGCAACCTCAGGACATTCCAAAGCAGTTTCCAGCACAAGTCAGAGAGAGTCAATATTTCAAAGAGTAGTCACAGCTGTAATGCAAACACAATAGACTTTAGTAGTGCAACACCGCCTCTAATGACCTTCCAACAGTCAGGCAGTACTTCAGCATGGACCATCTGAATGTGCACTGCACCCTCAGTGCTCACTTCCAACAGTGTGGTGGCAATTCAAGACTAGCACACTGACAGCCCAGCTGTCCCTCATAAGTGACTCTCCAATGATGCAACACTCCTTGAACACTGCCCCCCCTTCAGTACTGACCATCCAACAGTGCAGCACGCTCTCAGCACTGAGTCTCAACGGTATACAGCTTCCTCAGTAGTGACCCTCTGACACTGGAAAATACCTTCAGTACGAACCCTCTGAAGGTGCAGCAGTATCTCATTGCTAACACTGACAGGACATAATTCCCTCAGCACTGACCCGACCCGCCGACAGTGCGGGGCTCCCTCAGCACTGACCCGACCCGCCGACAGTGCGGGGCTCCCTCAGCACTGACTCTTCAATGTTTTAATGCAGTCTCAGTACTGACAGTCTGAGTGCAGTGCTTTCTTATTTCTGACTCACAAATAGTGGGACCAAAGTGGGCCTCTCTGTATATGAATAAATTTCTCCCAGTCAGCAGCTCTGCGATGAATGTGGTGCCAATATGTTGGCAACCAAGTCGTGTGTAGCAAGATCTCACGTATTGCAAATAATCTGTTTTAGTGGCATTGCTTCATTTCACAAGGGATATTGTTGCATGGTGACAGTTTAGACAACATATGAACATGAGAATTAGGGCAAGAGTAGGCCTTTTTACCCAGCATGTCCAATTCATTATTTAACAGAATCATGGCTGATCTTCTCCTTTAACACTATTTTTCCACATCGTCTTTGCATCTCTTGGTGTTCATAGTAATTCAATCAATCTCAATCTTGAACATAATCAAGAACTGAACTTCTATTACTCTCTGGGGCACAGAATTCCAAAGATTGGACTGTACAATGTTTTCCTCATCTCATACCTAAATGCCCCTTGCTTTATTCTGTTTCTGGACCTTGGTCTCACCAAGGCTGTATATAATTGCAGTAAGATATCCTATTAGTCAAAGTCTTGTGTAAGACATGTCAATACATCATTTGCCTTCTTAATTGCTTGCAGTACATACATGTTAACTTTCAGTGACTCAAGGGATCAACGGTCTTTGGGGATTGGCAAGAAAGTAAAGTTAAAGCTACAGTCAGTGCAGCCATGATTTAATTGACCAGTGGTGCCTAATTCTTCACTTTTTTAAATATTCTTGCCTTAGAGACAAATAGTAGTCCTAGGACACCCTTTTCAACACTTTCCTCAAAGTACTGGTTGCAGTTGGGGTTGGGCAGTGGAGGGATGGTGAGGAGTAGGGTGTTCAGAGAGCAGTGGTGGGCTCTTATGCCCTGTGACAAAAGTCACATCCAAAACGTAGCACCTACAAAGTACACACAGCAAGTGCTGACCTGGAATGACTGTTCACGTTTCAGGCTTGGAGCTTCAACCCATGGTTTCAGACTCAAGAGGCTAAAGTGCTACAGTCCTCCCACGCTCAACACCGCCATTCTAATTGCATTGGAGGAGAATGGTATTACCTGGCAAGGTGTGGTTGTTGCATAGGTCAGTTCTGCAGCATATGATACTCTGCTTTATGCCACCCGTGTTTAAGGATACACCACAGTGCGACCCATACTCACAAGACCTCTCAACATACGAAACTGGAGAAGAAAAATGAGTGCCTGTTATTAATAATCAACCTTGACAAAAAAAAATGACAAAAAAAGTCACAGAATCACAGAATTTGTCAGAGCAAAGGAGGAAGCCATTCGGCACATTGGGAATGACACGATTCAAATTGTCTCTAAAACAATCTCAAGTAGTGCATTCCTGACCCTCACAAATTGCTGCATGTAAAAGCTTCTTCTCACATCGCTTTTGCTTCTCTTACTAATTACGTTAAATATGTGCCCTCTCATTCTCAATTATTTCACCAATGAGAATAATTTCTCCAGGCTCCTTGTGGTTTTCAACACTTCAATCAAATCTCTCCTCACCCTTTTTTAAAAAAAGAAAGTCCAAATGTCCCCCATTCTCTCCAATGCCTTCATATCCTTTCTAAGATGTGGCACCCAGAACCAGACACAAAAATCCAATTGAGGCCAAACCAGTGTCTTATGCAAATTCAACATAATGTCCTTGCTCTTGTACCTTAAGTCCATATTAATAAGTCTAGAATATGAGCTTTATTGTACACACTCTCATCATTCTTATCTTGAAATCATAATCCTATAATCTTGACAGTGCGTAAAGAGGCCATTCAGCCCCTTGGGTCTTCACCTATCCTTCAAAGAGCATCCCACCCAGGCCCAGTACCAGCCCTCCACCCTAACCCCGTAATCCCACATTTCCCATGGCTAATCCACCAGCCCTTCACATCCCTGGAAACTATTGGGTAATTCAGTGTGACTAATCCACCTAACATGCTTTGGACTGTGGGAGGAAACCTGAGCACCGGGAGGAAACCCACACAGACACAGGGGGAATGTCCAAACTCCAGACAGACTGTCACCCAAGGCTGGTATTGAACCCCTGCCTCTGGCACTGTGCAAACCACTGAGACACTGTGCTGCCTGAGGGAGGATGAATTTTTTAAAAGATTGGATCTTAAATGGATTTTAGATTTTAGTTCTGTAAAGGTTAAATTTGTGTTTAAAAAGTCAAAGTCATTTTTGAATTGTGAAGTTAAAACAGCCAATCTAAGAATTGACTTTAGCCAAATAAAATGCATGGGGAAGTTATTTGCTGAAAAGGTACTATGGTGAATTTCATAATCTGCAGGGGGAAAAAAAAACATGATCAGGGCATGAGCAGTTTGAGTTCAGAAGGAAAGGTTTTATATGAAGAGGAGGACAGTGAGTTTGTGGGAGTCTTCAGACCAGAATGAAGCCGTTAGTTTTTTTTAAAGCAGTACAAGGAAAGGAGTTAGTAAAAATCTACTATTAAGATTCAGTGAGAAAGATGTAGTGTGTTAAACAATATTGTTGTGCCTCTGGAAGAGAAGGAGAGAATTCCATTGGTGAGTGTGTAGAAAATCACCAAAAGGAAAAGTTTACAATGGGGTCAGTTGAGTTAAGAAATGTTACAGTTTTTATAAAAGTGATATTTCATTTGGGTTGAGTGCCTGTAAAGGATATTGCCTGAGAAAAGCAGTTAAGTAGTTTGGTTTCCTTTTTTTAACTGTATAATAAACTTTGATGCTCTTTTGTTAAAAGTGCATTAGTACCAAAATATGTTCAATGCCTGACCGCTGGAGTAACCAAAAAGCAAAAATAAAACTTAACATCTATCCAGAGACTAAGTCCTGTCTTCACATTGAGAATACCCTCTAGTATGCTGTGTGGCATTATCACTGTGCAAAATGGGATAGACTTTGAACAGATCCAGCAATTCAGAACTAGGTATCCAGGAGATGCTGTGGGCCATGAGCAACAGCAGATTTTTATGCCAATGTAAGCTTTAACCTCACAGCCCATCATATCCACTGCTCGACTATTACCATGAAGCTAGGGGATTGACCCTGGATCAATGAAGAGTGCAGATGGGCATGCCAGGAGCAGCATCAGGCAAACCTAAAACAAGGTGTCAACCTGATAAAGTTACAAAGCAGGGTTACTTGTGTACCAAACAGTATAAGCAGCAAGTGATAGACGGAGCTAAGCAGTTCCACAGACATGGATCAGATTTAAGCTCTGCACTTCTGCCACACATAGGTGTGAATGAAGGTGGACAATTAAACAACTCATTGATACAGGAACCTCCACAAATATCCTCATTCTCAATAACGGGAGATTCCAGCACATCAATGTAAAAGACCAGGCTGAAACATTTGCAACCGTCTTCAGGCAGACATACTGAGTGGATGATCTACCTTGGCCTCTGTGGGGGTCCCCAGCATCACTGATATTAGTCATTAGAAAATCCAATTCATGATGTCAAGAAACAGCTGGAGGAACCAGTTACTGCAAAGGCTATGGGCTCTGACAACATTCTTAAAACAGTCCTAAAGATTTTTTTTTCCCAGAACATGCTGTGCTCCCCCCATAATCAAACAGTTCCAGTACAGCTTCAACACTGGCATCTACCTGACAATGTGGAAAATTGCCCAGGTACAGCCTTTAAACAAAAAACAGGACAAATTCAACCTGGCCAATTACTGCAGAATTGTTGAATACAGTTTAAAGGTTAAGACAGTTTCTGACTCAACTACCCTTTCAGACAGGGAGTTCAGACTCCCAACACCCACAGAGAAAAAACTCAACTCTCTTCTCAGATTTCTACCTTTTACTATATATATCTATGCCCCTGGTTACTGACCCTCTACTAATAGGAAAAGCACCATCTTAGCCACAGTATCTACGCCCCTTGTAATTTTATACAGCCCTACCAGTTCCCCTCTCAACCTTTACTTTTCCAAAGAGAACACCACCAATCGATCCTGTCTTTCCTCATAGCTCGGAGCCTGCAGGCCAGGAACATGCTAGTAAATCACCTGTACACCTTCTTGACTGTAATCATAACCTTCCGATAATGCGGTAACCAGAACTAAATGCAGTACTCAAGTTGTGTTATATAGTGTTTTATATAGTTCCAGCACCTCCAGGCCGACAACCCTGTGAATCTCTGTTCTGTCTAATTCTAGACTCTTAAGCATCGCTTGTTTTCCATCACTCCAACATTGGTGCCTATGCTGGACCCCTTGTAGAAATATCTGCATCATCTATAACTATGGGTGAAGTACCTGATGACTGGAGGGTGGCTAATGTTGTACCTTTAAGAAGGGTTGTAAGGAGAAGCCAGGGCACTATAGACCTCTGAGTTTGACTTTGGTTGTGGGTAAATTGTTGGAGGTTAATGGACATTTAGAGAGGCAAAAAAAAATTGATTAGATGTAGTCAACTTTTTGAGGAATTTACCAAAAAGATTGAGGAGGGCATAGCAGTGGACATTGTTTCCTTGGCCTTCAGTAAAGCCTTCGACAAGGTTCCTGGAGTAATTGGAACCAGGGGACCTCATTAACTACAAGGTTCTTGATTGTGGTTGTTAACCTGGGCCAAATCAGAAAAGCCCAGGCTGACCAATATAACCAGGAGATTAGTATCTCCTCAGTTCAGGATTGACTCCAAGCTGGCTCGCCACAAGTAAAGCAAGGGTGAGATAACAAGGTGTAGAGCTGGATGAACACAGCAGGCCAAGCAGCATCAGAGGAGCAGGAAGGCTGACGTTTCGGGCCTAGACCCTTC